CGGCGATGAATCGCGTGGGAAAATCGATTCGATTACGGGACAGGAGGATCGATCATCGCGCGGATCCCATTGTAAGTGGATAAAGCGCGGGGGTGCCAGGGCGGGGAGGGGGCGAGGAGGGGACAAACGGCGTCGCCAGGCCGCGCCGAGCCGCCGGCAAATTAACTTTTGCCATTCATAATTTACGCGAGCCTGAATGGCCTCGATTAATGCGCCGGCATTAAATCAATTGCGCTAATGCTCGCCGGGCCGCCTCCCTCCCTCCCTCCCTCTCCCCTCGCCCTCCCCCACTTCACGGGCCGGCCGTCCAGGCATAAATACGCGGGGCTCGTTAAAAACAAAAATTAATGCCCTCCGGTCCGCGCGCACGCCGCGAAATTCCCGCGTTTCCGCCGCGCGGAGCCGCGCCGCACCGCGCCGCGCCGAGCCGAGCCGAGCCGAGCCGGATCGTTAAGTACGCGTGCCGTAACGAAATTATCGGCGCCCCGGAATCGAAATTAACATCAAACGCGCGCGTCGACCCGGCGAACGTGGGGGCCCGCGGGTCGCCGGACCGGGCCGTGGTGGGGCGGCTGGCGGGGTGGGGTGGGGGGTTGGCTTTTGTCGTGAGTCGGCGAGCAAAAAATTGGCGAACTGTTTGCGGACGGGTCAATTGGCCCCGGGAAATCGATAGAGGCGCGCGAAACGACGCCCGATCAACCGTGAACAGATCCCGGACCGAATCTTCCCGGAGATAATCCGCTGCCGAGGGTGCCCGCCCACGTCTCGATTGGAGAGTGGCCGATGTAACGACGGCATCATCCCGTTCTTGCGACGTAACAGCGCGTTTCGCGCGACGTTCCTGCGTTTCGTTGGCGGCGCGCGATTGACTCGTTGCAACGCGTTTACCGAAACGTGTAATAATTGTTTTGATTAATATTATTGTTGTTGACGCGGTTGTTGGATCGATGTTAGATAAATTTAGAAATTTGGAAATTTAGAAATTTAGAAATTTGGAAATTTGGAAATTTGGAAATTTAGAAATTTAGAAATTTAGAAATTTGGAAATTTAGAAATTTTTGATACACGTATCTCTGTTTCAGATAAACAAATTTGTAACAGCTGTAACACTAAGCGTACAGTTAAGCGCGTCCTAATAAATAACGTCAAGTGTGCAGCAATATCAAGGTAATATAAACAACATAATAAACAATATCAAATATAATAAACAATATCCAGTAAAAATGCCCAATAGCATCGAAGAATGTTTGGACAACTACAAAGAAACAGCGAAAGTTATGTCACGCTTGGAAGATACCAAATTGTTTAGCGAAATTATATAGTAACACAAGAAGCCTAAGAAAATAATAGCCTTAAGAAAATAATGTAAAATTTAACGCGAAACTACTGTATATTACACTACAAGTAACTTACAAATGTTGTCCCACAAGCGGTCGCTAATTGCCGTTAAGCAGATGCGACGTTAAATAAATGAATTATGAAAATAAAAGAAAATATCTCTGTCGCGAAAATTATTGTCGAGTTTCAAGCTATCTGCTGGATACGAAAATCGATCTGGCGAGGAGGCGTTCGTTTATTTATAGAGCTGAAATGTTGCAGAAAAAGGAACGAACAGAGAGACATATTTTAGCATCGATAATTTACGCGAAACTCGGAATGTTTCAACGATATCGTGATTTATCCAGAAGCATGAAACAGTATACATATATACATATATAGTTGTATCTTTTTGTGCGACGCGAATGACATATAATTTCCCGTTGATTTTGACACGTTGACGTCAAATCACTGGAAAATATAGAAAATATGGAACAATGTGTTCTTGCCTCGAAGCACCCATTTTCCAATAAACGTTTCTGTTACAGCTTGTTGCATATACAGTTCTTACATAACGACGTTTATGCGGGCGAATTTCTAAGGAACGTAGTTCAGAAATACGTACAGACTTTTTTATCTATTTTCCGTTGCATTATTCGAGCCACCGTTCCAAGCAACGTTCACAATCGCGCGTCGTTCCATAATAGGTACTCTCACCCGAAGCTCCGGCCGTGAACGCGCGCGCGCGTATTATTAACTCGTTAATGGTAACGTTGAACGAGATTTCACGAGGTCTTGTGAATTTTCATTAACTGTTTCGCGAAATTGGGAAATGTTATCGTAATGAGTCCGCGCTGTTTACATTATTGAAATGATTTTGGTTATTAATGTTAATCCGTTGCCTAGGGTGACCGATTAATTGTGGGAACCGTTTCCATCTGCGATACGCGTATCGAGGGAGGGGGATCGTGATAATGGTGTGGAAGGTATCGGCACGTTAATTGACAGAATAATTACTTGCCCGAAAATTTCTGCTGTACAGTAATTCCTCCCTAATTGACGCCGCTTCCGAGGCTCCCGAAGCGACCGAATCGGGATCTGTTTCCCGAAAGAAGAAAGCCGCGGTCTCTCTCGCGTGTCCGAAGTGGTGATCGATCCAATCGGGATCGATCTCGATCGGAGATCGATCTTGGAAAAAATGAAGGACGCGGACGGCGAAGCCATATTCGTCGGGACGATTGCGCCTAAATCTCTTTAATCGGGCCGTTCGATTGGATCCGCTAACGGGAGCGCGTCAATTTTCGGATGGAAAATAGAGGAAAAGAGAAGAATGGAGTGAAAAAGTGCGAGAGAGAGAGAGAGAGAGAGAGAGAGAGAAGGATTGATCGGGGAGGAGGGAAAAAGCGAAAGAGAGGGTAGCGTCCAATTACCGGCGCGATGCGTTTCATTGCGCGAAAAAGCCGCCGCAACAAAATAACCGGCGAAAGTAACGAGGAACGTCGATTTAACTGCTCGTGTCCGGATCGGTCAATTGAACTGTTTCTACCGGGAACGGCGCGGCGCAGCGCGGTGCAAGCGCGGTGCAAGCGCGGCTGCGACACAAGCTTGGAAACGGTCCGCAAGCGGCGGACCGCGTAAATTGTCACCCTGCACACGGTTCTTTTCCACCGAAATCTGTTAACGGTAACACGGGAACTGTGTCCGAGTCAATTGCGCCCTGATAGACTGCCGTGTAACCGTACAAGGTAAATCCTACGGGTTAACTCTGTATGCTAAAAGTGCGGCTGGCCCGCCGATACGCGCGTCCCCTCATCTCCCCTCCCCTATCCGCCGAGCCCTCCGACAAATAAAAAAAAAGAAAAAAAACACCGACGGTGCATCCGTGCACAACGGAATCCTTCTTCGTCAAGCTTATCATAAAGTTTGGTCGTTCACCCTCCCCGCCGGAGTCTAGACCTCGTAAAGCCTCGCCTCTAAAGCCCGTGGCCGTAAAGTTTTTAATTGTAACGGCTGTTCTCAGAGTGGACGGTCTTCTCGATTAGAGAAGCCACTGCGGGGCCAAACACTTGCCGCAGCCGTGATTAAATCCGTGAGAATCGTGGCGCATCGATGTTTGCTGCTTCGTGCTGCAGCGAATTCTTCTCCATTTTTGCTTCAGCTTTTTGGGCAAAAATATCGAGTCGCGATTCTTCGAGCCTCGCGGCTCGTTTTTCAGTAGAAAACATGCCGGTGTTCGTTAATATGGTTACATAGTAATGCTAGAATAAAAACGACGATTTAACTCGTTTATTTCTAATTTTTTGCCACGATGCGAAGGCAATTCGGAGGCCACTTGACACGATTCGGAGGCAATTCGGAGAATAGAAAAATGGATATAAATTAGCCAACTTCGAGTGACGATAACTCCGCGAAAAGTTACTTTAGGGCGACGACTCTTTTTCCAAATTAAAGCTTGAAACCTCTACTTTCAGACACTGTACTATGAATTTTAAGTTTGATGCACCCTCGCCACTGTAACCCTTTAAATGTGGAGCCATGTTTGTCATATCGAAAATTGCCAAGTTTGACGAAATGCGCAATGATCAGCTTCGACTGACGATAACTCCGCGAAAAATCACCTCGAGACGATGACTCTTTTTTTAACATAAAGTTTGATACCTCTACTTTCAAACAGTGTATACGGATTTCAAGTTCCACGCACCCTCGCCACTGTAACCCTTTAAATTCGAAGCCATGTTCGTCGTACTGAATATCGTCGAGTTCAACGAATCGCACGGAAAATTGCACTTTGGAAAATTTTTCTCCGAGATGCCGTTTACAGCAGAACGAAGCTCGATCTTTCCCCTTTAATTTAAGAAAAAAGAAACTCGGCTGCGATTTTTTCTCGCAAAGTTACAGCAGTTTCTAGTAACCCTTGCACGTTCTCCAATCCATGTTTTCTTCTTGTTGTACCTTTTCACGTGTATCATACACACAGCTGCATATATCACATACATCTTTCCACGTGACACAATTCGAAGGCAATTCGGAGGCCACACGACTCGATTGGAAGGCAATTCGGAGGCCACGTGCCACGATTCGAAGGCAAACCGACCGTTTCGTATTGCCTCGCGTCGTGCGACTTTGTCGATCCTTAGCAACGACGCAGCAATAAATTACATAGGCGTAGCGCTAGCACAGGGAAATTCACAGCAACCCGATATTCGTCCTTTCCGGGAGAAATTACTGTAATCATCAATTATCAAATCGGCGGGCCGCCATCTTGAATTTCCGTAAACCCAGTATTAACTCTTTGCACTCGAGTGGTGACTCTGAGGCGCCATGAGAATTGTTACATCACGTTCCGAGATAATTTTTATATTACAAAAATTTAGATGTAAAATAGCTGTTAAAAGTCTAATCGTTGTACGAGTCGTAAGACTAAATTTCGTGTGCATAAAATGCACTTTGTCGTATAAAATGGGACTATCGTGAGTCAGAAAAATTCATTTAGATTTACAGTTAAAATGACTTCGAGTGCAAAGGGTTAAACGACTTCTGCCAACTCTGTGCAGCCAATTAATTTTGCCGAATTCATCAGGCGAATCAGCATTGCTCGATCAGCAAGCATCGCCACCAAAAAATCAGATCAAAGGATCGAAGCGAGGAAGAAAAAAGAAAAAATAAGAATGCTTGCGACTCACCGGACGACAACTTGGACCTCTGCAGCAGCCATGTCTGTAGCGCGATCCTCTCCCTGTGCCTGCAGAAGAACTCGGGCCTGATGCCGTGCCTCTTGAGGAACTCGTCGCACTTTTTGAACGCGGCCAGAGCCTTGGCGGCCTCGACCTCGTCGATGTCGTCGAGGACGTTCGGGCAGGAGCTGCGCCTCGAGGACGAGGACCGTTCCTCGTACGTCTCGTCCGGTAGAAGCATACCCATTCCCGCGGGATAGGACAGGCTGCCCGGGCAGCCGAGCAGCTCCTCCTCGATCCCCTCTGGTTCCTTTCGACAGCTGTCGTCGGAGTTCTCGGCTGTCTCGCAACTTCCAGCCCGCGGCACTCGTCCAAAGCACATATTAATCCTGGCCGTGTGCCCCGGGAAATCGTCTCTAATCGGCCAGGAAACGTCGAAGCCTCCTCCTCCTCCTCCTCCTCCTTTTAACCCTCGATCTATCTCCTGGCCGGCCCCGTTAATTACCCGTGTCGCTGCCGCCACCGCCGCCACGATTCGATGTTTAACCCTCTCGGACGCGGTCGCTTGGCTCCGCTGTTCCGCGTGCGGGACTGTTGATTCGGTAACTCGCACTTCGCTGCTCGGAGTGGCATCTGCTGCTTTAGCCTGTCGAGCAAATTGTTTAGGATTCGCCAGGGTGAATCATCATGGGGGTTCGATGTCGATTGGGCGTCGACGAGGGCGTCTACTAGGCTAGTTTAGTTCTAGGACCCGAATCGTGTTTGCTTAAAACTGCCGCATCGCGAGTTTTAAGACGATTTAAGTCGATCTAATGATACAGGTTCTATCTACAGGGTGGCCCAAAATTATTGCGCAAGCGAGAAATGTGGGGTTCCTAAATTTTTTCTTAGCGATAATGCAATCCGCGACTTCATTTACGAGTTATTTAAAATAGATTTATGGTACTTAGTTATGACTAAAGCAGACTTGACAAAACCAGTGATTGTAAATCTACCAAAGTAGATTTAGCTAGGAGAGATTAGAGCAAATTCTTTAGGATTCATCAGGGTGAATCATCATGGGGGTTCGAAGACGATTGGGCGTCGTCGAGGGCATGTACTAGGCTAGTAGACTACTACTAGGCTAGATACTACCCGAATCGTGTTTGCTTAAAATTGTCGCATCGCGAATTTTAAGACGATTTAAGTCGATCTAATGCTACAAGGCTCAATGTACAGGGTGGCTCAAAATTATTGCGCAAGCGAGAAATGTGGAGTTCCTGAGAGGTGATTCGAAGTAACTTTTTCCTTAGCGATAATGCAATCCGCGGCTTCGTTTAGGAATTATTAACAATAGATTTAGGGAACTTAGTTATGACTAAATCGGACTTGACTAAACTAGATTCGACTGGATCAACTGTACTAAAATAGATTTAGCTAGGAGAGATTAGAGCAGATTGTTTAGGGTTCGCCAGGATGATCGAAAGGGTTCGAAGACGATTGGGCGTCGACGAGGGCGTCTACTAGGCTAGCTCAGTTTTAGGACCCGAATCGTGTTTGCTTAAAATTGTCGCATCGCAAGTTTTAAGACGATTTAAGTCGATCTAATGACACAGGTTCAATCTACAGGGTGGCCCAAAATTATCGCGCAAGCGAGAAATGTGGGGTTCCTGAGAGGTGATTCGAAGTAACTTTTTCCTTAGCGATAATGCAATCCGCGGCTTCGTTTAGGAATTATTAACAATAGATTTAGGGAACTTAGTTATGACTAAATCGGATTTGACTGGATCAACTGTACCAAAGTAGATTTAGCTAGAAGAGATTAGAGCAAATTGTTTAGGATTTACCAGGATGAATTATCATAGGGTTCGATGACGTCGATGGGGGTCGATTGGGCGTCGACGAGGGCGTCTATTAGACTAGTTCAGTTTTAGAACTCGAGTCGCGTTTGCTTAAAACTGTCGCATCGCGAGTTTTAGGACGATTTAAGTCGATCTAATGCTACAGGCTCAATCTACAGGGTGGCCAAAAATTATTGAGCAAGCGAGAAATGTAAGGTTCCTGAGAGGTGATAAAATAAATTTTTTCCTTAGCGATAATGCAATCCGCGGCTACGTTCACGCGTTATTAACCCTTTACACTCGAGTGGTGACTCTGATACACCATTGAAATTGTTATATTATCAAAGTTATTATATTTATATATTTATATATTTATTTTTTTTATATTTATATATTTATATATATTATAGTTATATTATTATTATATTATCAAAGTATAGATTTAAAAAGTTGCTGAAAGCTGTATGGATCGCAAGACGCAATTTCATATTCATAAAATGCGCTTTGTCGTATAAAATGAAAATAATACTACAAGTCAGAAAAATTATTTTTGATTTACAGTTAGAATAGCTTCGAGTGAAAAGGGTTAACAGTAGATTTACGGAACTTAGTTGTGACTAAATCGAACTTGACTAAACTGGATTCGACTGGATCAACTGTACCAAAATAGATTTAGCTAGGCGAGATTAGACTCAATTAGAGTAGACTAAATCCAGCTAGATTACACTG